TTCAACTTTATCGAACTTTTTGACAATTAAATTAACGACTCGAGTTTGAGTCTAATCAAAGAGGGTTGAAAGTTCAAATAAAAATTTTCAACACAAGCACTACTCTAAAAGTAATTACGATTTACGAATAACCATTATTCTTAGTGTACTTTTTAAATTATAATTTAAATTGATCAAATATAATTTTAATACACAACTTTGACTACTATTTATTAGAAGATAATTAATACATAACGTCCACACCTTTCATTGTTATTAAGGAAAATGTTCTTATCTTTCATTTTTCTGATATTTTCACCCTTATTTCCACCTTTCATTGTGCAAGATATCATTTTCACATATTTTCTCAATTAAAAATTATTAAATGAAGAATATACCCATCTTTTTAAATAAAAAGAAAAAGAAAAAGAAAAAAATAATTGTAACCACAGTCCTAATTTTTTTTAAAAAAACTCAAATAAATCACAAATAAATTATTAAAATGGTAATTAGTACATAATGTCCCTATCTTTCATCGTTATTGCTAAAAATATCCATACCTTTCATTTTTTTTTCATCCTTAATTACACACTTGATTGCACAAATCATCATTTTAATCCATTCATCCAATTTCTCAATAAAAATCTGTGAATGACAAATATACTCTCATATTTAAATAAAAAACTAAAGAATTAATTGCAATCACAATCCCAATTTTTTTAAAAAGTACTAACAAGTCCCAATTAAGTTTATTTAAAATTAAAAAAAATTAAAAAATTCAAACGAGTCCCAAATAAATTATTAAAGAATTATAAATTTAAAAAATATATTTTTTATTTAAATATGAGGGTATATTCATTATTTCACAATTCTTTATTAAAAAATTGGATGAAAATGATGGTTTGACAATCAAATGCATAATTAGAGTGAAAATGAAATGTATGGACTTTTTTTTGCAATAACGGTGAAAGATATGGATATTATGTACTAATTACCCTTTTAATAATTTATTTGTGATTTATTTGTGTTTTTTAAAAAAATTTGGGACTGTGACTGTAATTAATTTTTTCTTTTTCTTTTTGTTTTATTTAAAGAAAGTGATATATTCGTCATTTCATAATTTTTAATTGAGAAAATAGGTTAAAATGACATTTTTTCGTAATAAAAGGTATATAAGTGAAAATACAAAAAAATAAAAGGTATGGACGTTTTCCACAATAACATTGAAAGGTGAGGATGTCTTTGCTAATTTCCCTTCATTATACTATGTAAATATTTTGTAGAATCCAAAATTTATTATCACTTAAAACTTAATAAAATGCTCTTAATGTAATAAAAAAGTTTGCAAAAGAAGAAAATTAAAACATTAAAAGGGAGTGCAAAAGGTGAGATTAACTGTAATTAAAATGTGAGAGATTCTTTCTAGATTTGAAAAATTAATCCGCCACACCTGTAATCCCACCACTCCCACAATCCAATCATCTCTCTCACTACAATTCTTCTCTTTCTCTCTCTACAATTTCTTCTATAATTGGTGCCTTGCTTTACAGACACCCTTCTCACTTTTCTAACTAATCACACTCATATTACTTCAACGAGTATAGAAACCATTGGAAAAAAAAAAAATT